AGGGAGCACCGTGAAGTTTTCGATAGACAGCCTTGAACTGCATCCGGTGTGTTTGCACTATGTATCTGTGTTTCCGAAAACGCCTGTATCCGACATAGTTGTGCCCAAAAGGGAGAGGGAAGATATGCACCATAACGAGAAAAGATCCGGCAATACCCATGGCGAAATTGTTAGCGAGGCCTGAGCACCATGAAGACTGTTTTGGGGATCGATCCGTGCTCCTCTGCTGTAGCAGTTTCGCGGGATATCACGAAATGGATGCAGTCACAAGACGGTGGAATCGCGCAGAGAACTCGAGTTGCGTGTGTTCAACGTCCATTTCAAAGATGCGGTTCAAAACTGGTCCAGCTATCCATAAAAGTCGAAACTGTTTTAATCACAGAAAAACGGACCAGCGAAACACGTGAGCTGAGATTAACTGTAGTCAGTGAGCAGTGTGCAACATGAATTATTTCAATGGTAAGCTGTGTGCAAGACACGCCCTCTTTCCGTATTCAGTCAGGGGTGTTTGTGTTTGCTCGAGTTGAGAGGAACCAGCAAACTGCCTCTTCTAAAACAGTCAGTGTTTGTTGCATGAAAGTCAACTTGGCAGACAATGCAGCAAAGTCTTACAGGGCGGGGCACGAGGCGGTCGTTTTTGCGTACGTACTGTCTGATTTCGGCCCTGAACAATTAGCTTTCAGTGAATGATTTTGACTTGTTGAAGTGTTACATCATAATATTCTTGAAGTTCTCGTCTAAATGGAAACACCTACAGAGCTCGCGCGAGTGCGCCTCGCAGAATAGGTCCCCAACACATGCGCAAGTCCTCTCGTGTGTGGAGCGCTCTAACTCGTGCTATATCGTTGTTCCTAAGAGTGAAGCAGAAGGTTGAAAATGAGCTTAAAATGCAATTTCCAGCAGTCATTCTGCCTTACCTAGTGGGATTTTGAGTTTGGCCTTCCACATTGGCATCCATTTCAGGGGCATATAAGTTCAAGCCGTCGAGACAACATCCTAACAAAAAAGCTCAGACTTCTGGCAATGCTATATCTGGCCATTCATTCTAGTGGAACCGACCTATCAATGAATCAGCTACATCGGCTGGGAGGTCTTTGAGATTGGGTTTCTTTTGATATCTACCAGACATTCGGTACGTGTACTCTTGGATAACATGTACAGGATCACACGCCTAAAGCAGAAGGGGTACTAAACTTTGTTACAATGGTGGCTATTCTATGGTCGAGCGGTCATAAAACTCATCTGAAGAAAGTACTGCCTGAAAAAATCGACACACTGTGACGCGTGATCCTCTGGACGCGCTCGCAACGTACGCCTCCAATTCTCCATCAAGTCGTTCAAGTTTGTTGCATGAAATGAGGACGCTAACATCTCATATGTACCAAAAACTGCTCAACTAAAAAAGCGGACAATCTACCTTAAATGGGTACGACTCGCGCACTGCCCACTGCATAGTCAAGTTCCGTGCGTGCAGAAAAGTTCCATCGGCAACTTCGGGCCAACATTTCTCGAAGCGACGGCCTCTGCGTGCAAAATTCGACCATGTAACTGTTTCATACACACCATCAAGGCGTCAATCTGTAACAAGGGACAGAGGAAAGAGTTCCTGAGGTGCAGAATGTGGTAGTATGATAACTAACGATTGCTGCTATTCCCACGATTGCATCTGAGTGTCTCGCAGTTACGGCCAAATGAGAACGAACGACGGAATCTGATGACTGTGGTACGTCCGCAGAAGCCATTTGCAGCAATTTAGTTTCTTCAACGTTGACGCGACACTCCCTCGCACGCGTGAAATGTGTGATAAAGTCCTGAAGCTTGCTGTGGAGCGTATTTGTAGGTGCATTTGATAGTATGGAAGGAACAGACATTGTAATCTTCACCAGTGTCTACTTGTGACAGGGCTTCTCCCACCTGCTCCACCGAGATCTCTTTCGATTGAGTTACTGTCCGCAGAACGGCTGCAATGGAAAACAATTTGCATTGAAGCATCACCGAGGTCCTTTACGAGGCTATTCAGCACCTTGCAGCAAGTATGGACGACATGGTGCTCGACTTTGTGACGTGCCTTGATAATCGGAAGGTTCCTCCGCAATACCATTTTTCTCGCTGGCTGCAAATCCGAACGACGGCTCAGTAACATCACGCTATAAGCTCATGCAAAGAATTCACCTGTTCCAGTATTTCGCAGCTCCTGGGATCCTACTGAGTGCGCAGATAACGCAGGGGAAGAGACCATCGAAGAAGGAGTTCCCGCACACTCTCTGAGTGAAGTCACCGAAACGATATTCGACGGAGTACTTAAGTTGGAACGCTCTTCGGAAACGTTTTGGTTATTCATCCATATGATAGTCTGGAGAAATGACCGAAAAGTAAGAGTTTCCAACCAGGCAACACTTAGATGACAGCTTTCGCTTCGCTTACGGCATACCGTTCGTGATGCACTGTCCACAGATGTCCTGTACGCCTCAGCGATAGCTGCCGGCAACTCGTCAGCGTTCGCATTGCACGCAGGGGATTTGATGCCGCTCATTCTAGCTCCCGCCCAACTACAACTCTGAACTATTGTTCGAAACTAGCTACAAACAGGCGAATGTAAATCCACGGCATGCACCGTCTCATAGTAGTGGAACACATTCAAATCAATTCTTTAATCTTTGAACTTGCCCAGAGATTACGGTTATGCATGAATATAAGTGCAGCATAAGAAATTATTAGCTTCGAAGTTGAACCGGTACATGTTATAAGAGAACGTACGAGGGAGAGGTTAAGGCCGTCAGAAGATTATGAGGCACTTCCGAGTAGGAGGCGTCAACTCGTTAGCGACGCTGCATTTCCCACAAAAAAAACTGTGTTTTCCTGCTCTCGAAAAACCGTTGAAGTTTTTTTGCTCCCAAAAACCGCTGGGTGATCAAGATTCCCCATCTCAGACCCACCTCAAATACCATAAAAGCGGTTAGATTGCAGGGTCGCCAAGGTGCCAACGCTCCATGGGATTATACTAAAACAAAAGAAGTGAGGAGTGGTACCGACGGAGTCTAGAGACGTGACACATATGAGGTTGACCCAGAGTTAATTAGCAACGCTGGCGACATGATGTCATAAGCATTGCATAGAAGGTGTTCTCTACCTATGACTCTTTTGAAAAAACGATTACAAGCGACGAATATCATACAAAGCAGAGCGAGCTCGATTTGTGGCCGGGTGGTCGCCACTTTGCAGTGCCGCACTGAGTGCTACAAAAGGGTCGTCCGTTTTAATCTCTTCTATCAGGACACTGCATTCGTTTGTCCAGGAATCGAATGCGAACACGATGACCTGTCCGAAAAGGGGACGCCATTGACTTCCAAGATAAACGAATTCCTGCACCGTATCCATCGTCCGTTTATTATACACCGCCGATGAGTAGATCTTGTTCCCTTTACACAAGCGGCAACTGAAAGTGTACTCCTGTGATGGGCCTTCTCATACAATTCTCATTCTTACCTGAAACTCGTAAGGTGTCGCCTTGTTTCAAAGTATTGCTGATGTTCTATGAACAGATCGTCCAGTCGCAACATGCTTGATTGTGGCACATGGCAGTCAAAGTCAAGTATGCAGTCACCCGGGGAAGGCCTAATAGATAAAGGGTTGATTTCTACCTATTCGCCACAACTAGTTAACCACAAATATAGGATACCTAAAGCTTTTCGCCTTGCTGTGACTTCGGCATACAAACGATCCATGAACGCATTGCTGTGTCGCTGTGTTTCCTTTTCCAATTTGTCGAGCAGGTATTTGCGCATAACGAAACTAAAAACCAGAAGTTCTGTCCAGTATGTGTAAACGGAGTGTGGGAACGAATAAGGGAGTTTCCAGAATGTGCATACTTCTCAACGACAGCATCTCCGACGTTGGTGGTGCACTGGGAAATACGAAGCTGGAGGCGCCGATGCGTGCTTTCGAAGGAACTCGCACTCCAATGATATGGTGTTCCCGACGTCAAATAAGTCTTCCAAGGATTGCATGGTCGACAAAACACTGCAGATCAGTGAGATTGGAATACTCGATTATCAAGACGCTTCCATACACCTATGCAAGATTTTTGCAAGGATGATACTACGACACTTACATGGACTTTAAGGGTGAACAAAGTCGGCTCCACCGCGTACCACAGGTACTTCATCCCCCTAGCCAGTTCTTGCACTCCAGGGAGGTCGTTTACTGTCAACTCCGTGCTCCTTCTCAATGACTCGCACGAGTATCCAGTATGCAAGCACGGCGACAGCACCCACAGGATCAGCGCAGATATTCATCGCGGCCGCAAGAGGGAACACCACGAAAGAAAGCTAAAATGTGAACGCGTAGAATCGATTCTAATCTAAGAAAACGCAGGCATGGCATGTCCCACTTACAGCGTCCTTCTCAGACCCGGTGGATACCCGAAAGGTCTTCAAGTCCAAGAACGAACTTATCAGCGTATGTATAATTACGAGTAGTGGCTATGATGCGATAGAACTCCTGCAGGCACTCCGGACGCACTTTCATCGCGGGCACGCGGCTTTGCGAAGAAAACATGGCTGAAGTGATGCTTTTAGAACGCATAGGAATAGAGAACGCAAAGAGAATTAACCTTTGAAAATGTCGCAAGTTATGCCTTCTGATATCACATGCAGCGCATCCGGTATGCATTCATGCACCATTAACATGTCCATCATCTGCGTTCGACCTGTACAAAAAGTCTACTACATGATGTGTTGCGTAACAGCACAGTGGGGAAGCGTTGACGTGCCAAACGTCAACAGCTAACCTCTTACGCCTTGAGAGTGCGATATCGCATCTTGAGTTAGCGAAGCGTATGTGCGACGGTCTCCAGCGAAAGGGAATCTGGGAAACCAAATTACTCGGATGGCCAACTCTTTCGCCCGGGAAAGTACAGAGATGGCATCCATACAAAGACTGCCAGCGGGGTAAGTCGTACAAAGTCTTCAAGGCCTGAAACACTTGATACTATACAGAGATTTCATTTCCCACTGCCTTTTAAGCTACAAATCCCACGGCGAAATCGATGACACCATTAGCCAGTATCGGGGTGCAGAACCAAGTAGTACCGTTGTGTGATACGGGAATACCGTTCTCGCTCAGCATTTCGAGTTCTTCACGAAGACTGAAACACACCAGGTTCAACCCTCTAATAGGATTGAGTCGACTGGACTTAGTAACTAACTGACCGCCCAAACATTTCGGTAAGAAGCTTTTCCGTGGGAGTTTTCCTTGTGAACGTGATTCCAGCCAAAACTACGTTTTCGATCTTGTTCTTCTCCTTGAACGGAAGCCCCTCGAGACGGATGTAGATAGGCCATGCCTCGGACCTTGAGTTAGTAGAATTACGATTAACTGACGCGCGACAGTTTCACTTGTGCCAAATTGATTCACCGTGAAAGCTTCTTCAACTTGACGCCGTCGAAGTTCAGAGTTAGTATGATCTTGATTTTACGCTCATCGAACTCCTGTGAGCGTTTCGATGGACCGCCTGTACCTTGGAAATGAGGAAGTTTCACTCCGCTTAGAACTGGCTTCCTGTAATGAGTAGCAGCGTACATGTGGGGGTACCTGTGAACTCGGGCAAAGAGAGTGGAGACACGCCTACCCCGCTATGAATTTCTCTGTGAAGTTGAACAAGAGTTGGAGAACCTTGTCTAAGAATCAGCGACAGTTGAGGTTCGATTTCCAAGAAGTGGATCACTGTTCTCTTCATGGCTTTGCACCGCTTCGGAGGAATGCTACAATGAGCGCAGCTAAAACGCGGTAAATACAGACGGTCAATTTAAAAACCGACCCTTGAATTGCACAATCCGAATTCACACAGACTGCCTTCGATCCACTCAGACGTGAGTCGCAAGGGTTGCAATAGAAAAACTTTGTGTGACCGAACCGCTGGGGGGCATCATGCATCAGTTTCTTGATTCGAGTTATTCGTCTTGAACAATTTAAATCATTTAGCTTTTACTTATTATGATATTTCGGCCATTTGTAGTGGTGTGTTTTTATAGTGTTTTCTGTTTGTGCTGGACTAGTTTTTGTTGATGAAAACAAAAAGTATTGAAAGCCAGCAAAAAATGGAACGAAAAATTCGGAAAGTTAACGCAATGCACAAAAATAAAAATGAAACCTAATCTTAACGAACGGTCGGGTAAACACTTCGACGACAGCCTGTTGTTAATGTTTCCAGTGTTTTTATTTTCGGAATTTTTATCAGATCAGCACTACCCCCCCCCCCACAATTTCGTTAATGGCAAGCACTGGAGTGTTTTCTGGGTTCAATTAATGTGGACGGACAAGGTTCTAATACGAATGCTAAGTGAGTCAACAAAACGATGCCTCTTCGCATAGGAAGGCGACGCGCATGCGCGTCATGCTGTCGTCGACGTGCTAAATTACACAAAATCTCAGAACCTCAAAGCAAGAGAAAGAAGATCTAAGAAAAGCATGACTGACCGGCTCAGGAAGGAACACACCTTTCATGGCAAGAAAATCGTCCAGAAAACCAGCCATCTTTTCGCTCACCCCAAAATGTAATTTGAAGACAGCAGCATAAATCACCGTTTGTTGGAACGCTGGAGAGATTTGTTTTCTCGATACATGATTTGAGAATCGACTACATGTACACAGCATAAACAAGAATCTCACTTACTCGGATATGGCGTTAAAATCCTTGAGTCGTCTTCAAGAGCAACCACATGTTCTTCCCGGACTTCATCCGCAGCCTCTTCAACTTCTTCCCGGGGTTCAGCCTCTGGCCTTCCCACTTCCACGACCAGTGCCTCTTCCACCCTCCTCTCTGGATCCGCACTTTGTTCAGCGAGCTCACGGGCCAAGGCCACGACTGGCGCTGAATAATCGTGTATCGGGCCATCATCGACGATCAAAGCTAAAACAATTGATTCTACGGGAGACTATGAAGCGCGTACCAGCCATCGCTCTCAATGATTGACTTTTTCTGAGCGGTCGCCTCATCTTCACTAACGGCTCCGGAGGCCCTTCTAAGGCGTCGCGTGAACAAGAAGGAGCGTTAATAGTCCGCTTTCGGTCCATAAAAGCACCTAAATCTGGTTTAGTCTTTCACAATCAATCGAGCAGACGTCGACTGACATCAGTTCGATGGGCTATGAAAAACTTGCGGTTATGCAACCCATCCACCAATGAATCAAAAATTGGTACTGTTTATTCACCCGACAAAAAGGGGGCAATCGTTATAAGAAGCCGTTTTCTGAGAGAGATGTTGTTGTAATCAGTCCACTCCCCGGTCCTCGACTTCGCTAACGTAAGGTCGACCAAGGATGAACGAACAGGTCATTAAGGAGGCAAACATATTGGGCGCAAGTGTGCCCGGGGGAACGCTTTCGAATGCCGAATGCTCTTCACCTCTCCCTCTCTCCTCGCTCAGATGTCCCCGCTCTCCCAAAAATATGAACGCCAGCATTGAATAGTGCACAAACAGTTCAAAAGCGAATAGAATACGGCACCAAAGTGTTCGATAATGCACAATCAGTT